TTTGGAGAAGCTGTGTGAAGCAGGAACCTCCTCTCCTCAGATCAGATCTATTTTTCAGTGAATTCAGTTGTTCAGTTGTGTTTGACTCTCGCAACCCCATGGACTGCAGCACGCCAGGCTTCCCTGTCCCCACCAACTCCCAGAGCTCGTTCAAACTCATGTCCATTGAGTTGGTGATGCCGTCCAACCATCTCATCTTCTGTTGTGCCCTTCTCCTCCTAAGATCTGTTTCTATTTTAAGGTGAACACCTTTTAAGTATAGACTGTTGACACTCGGTGTTTGTGGCTAGCCGTGAAAGGCCGCGTACAGGTTCTGTCCTCCGGCAGGATGTGTGCTCTGTCCGGGCGCCCCTCCGGCTGCGGGGCTTGGCCGCCTTCCCCTCATTCTCTTGGTCTCCTTGACTCCCGCACATCTGAGCCTGCAGACCAAGCCTGTGGACCCAACCGTGGATGGGGGCGCACAGGTGCAGCAGGCGGTCAACATCGAGTGCGTGTCCGACTTCACTGAGGCGCCAGTTCTCAACATCCAGTTCAGGTGGGTGTCAGGCCGGGACAGGACGTGGCTGTAGCTGTCACTGCCGTGACGTGGGGCCTGCTGCTCGGAGGTCGGCTGCGGGAAGGAGTGCCTGCCAGGTCCTCACCGGGGCGTGTGCTCCGCGTATCACACTCCCCACACACAGACTGACTGTTTCTGTGGCATGTTTGTGTTGCTGCTTTGCTCGTTTCTGCTGTTTTTCAGTGACCGGTAGAGTGAGTGACCAGGCTGCCCTGTTGGGTATTCTGTAAGGTTAAATTTTGGAAAAGCACGCTCTGAAACATGAACTATATAGAGACCTGAAGACAGTGTACCATGTAAAATCTGGGGAAATAGATGTGCAGAATTTTGTTTCATTCTGTAGGCACTCTTTTCTTTAGTCATTTTATGGAAAGAGGAACGACCCACACAACTTATGCTGACTTGGAATGTAGGGCATCGACTGCTGGGGATGGGGGAGGTGGCAGCTGTCCCCAGTCGTCGTGACCAACCTGGCAGCGTCGGCTGAGGGTGTGTTTCCCAGCGTCCTCAGCCCTCGATGACTGTGTGCTAGAGATGGACGGTCTTGCTGGGGCCCCGGGCCGCCCTTCTGCCTTCTGCACGCGGCCCCCTCTGTGCCCCAGTGGTCTCGCACTCAGGACCTGGTCCTGGCTGAGTCTCAGGTTTTCTGCACATTCGTGGACTCCTCCCAGTGGACCTCTGTGTTGCTCACAGGTACGGGGGAACCTTTCAGAACGTGTCTGTGAAGCTGCCTATCACACTCAACAAGTTTTTTCAGCCCACGGAAATGGCTTCTCAGGATTTCTTCCAGCGCTGGAAGCAGCTGAGCAAGTGAGTGGCAGCTTGTCCGTAGGTGGAGAGGTGGGCAGGGGCCGGGCTGCAGACAGCTGACGGGGCGGTGGTCTCTCCCCTCAGCCCCCAGCAGGAGGTGCAGAGCATCTTCAAGGCCAAGCACCCGATGGACACAGAGGTCACCAAGGCCAAGGTACTGGTCTTGCGATGGACATTCCCAGGGTCGGGACGTGGCCTGGCCCTCTGAGGAGATTGGTGTGTTCCCCTCTTGGAGGACTCTCCCCTCTGCCGGCACTGGTGCCATGGCCTCCTGTTTCTCCCCTTTCTTCACAGATTATCGGCTTTGGCTCTGCGCTCCTAGAGGACGTCGACCCTAACCCTGCGAACTTCGTGGGTGCTGGCATCATACACACCAGGACGGCCCAGATCGGGTGTCTGCTGCGTCTGGAGCCCAACCTGCAAGCCCAGGTGCAGCCCTGTGATGTCGCTGAACGTGCTTGAGTGGTGGTTACTGCAGTGGAGTTTATACACAGGGAGACAGGCAGGTCCCAGGGGTGGGCATTCGGTGCGCTACGAGGAAGTGTACACCTGCGTAACCACCACCACCCGCTGGTGCACGTGGCATTTCCATCGCCCCACGAGGTTCCTGGGCACCCTTGTCAGCCCTGGCCTCCCCAGGAGGCAGCGCTCTGCGGCCCGGCGTGGGCCCCCCAGCTTCAGCAGGTGCCTGTTGCTGCTGTGTCCGTGGGCGGCCCTGGTGTAATATGTGGCTCTCCCTGTGGGGAGGTGCACAGTTATCTCGTCCAGCATGCCTGTCCATGGACGTGGGGCTGCTGCAAACATTGGGCGTCCTTTGTGTGCATGTGACTTCATTTCTTGCGGGTGACACCCGGGTGAGCTGGCAGACTCACGGGGTCCAGGCACCGTCAGCGTTGCTGCCCTGTCAGCGTTGCTGCCCCGCCAGCAGTGCGGTCCTGATGCCCCGCAGCTGTGCTTGAAGGCTCCAGTTGGTCCCCAAGCATGAGTGCTTGTTACTGTCAAGCTTTTATTTTAGCTGAAAGCGCCTTTGATGCTTGAATCTGTCACACTGGCCGCCTTCAGGGAAGGGCTGAGCAGGGACTTTGGGGGCTGCTGGGGAGGGCCTGGCCCTAAGGTGGTCTGCTGCCCAGAGCGCCCCCGCCCCACCACTACCTGCTGTGTCCTCTCTTCCAGATGTACCGGCTGACGCTGCGGACAAGCAGGGAGACTGTCTCTCAGAGGTTGTGTGAATTGCTGTCGGAACAGTTTTAAATCGGCAAGGGCGGAGGGTCAGGCTCCCGTCTGTGCATCTCCTCGTCTCCACCTCTGTCTTCGTTGCTGAGCTGTAGGTCCGTGCCCTGCCCGGTGTTGCAGCCCCGCTTCTTGGCCTCGTCCCTCGTGGGCATGGATGGGGAGCCTTTGTGCCCTTGAGGAAGAGGAGGCTCAGTCTGGACCCAGCCAGCCTGCCGAGTCAGGAGGAAGGGCGTGGCTCCCGGGATCAACTCTTACAGAAATCAAGACAGTTCTGTGGTTAAGTCTACACATTAAAGGGAAATTAGAAGTTCAAGTGAAAGTGGAAATTTTTTTTGAAATTCTCTCAAGATGCTGTGTTCTCTTACTGGTAGTTCATCTCTGACGCCCTCAGAGGAGAGGCGGTGTTCTGTCATCAGGACTAGATCTCGGCTGCTTGGATGGGAGACGGGGAGGCTGCCACGGCTGTGGGCGTATTTGCTAGGGGCCTGGGGGCCTGTGGCGGCTGAGTTCTGCATCTCCAAGTTAGACAGGCTTGTGTTCTCAGTTACTGTCAGGGAAAACTTGTCCTGCCTAGATTGAGTTCAGCTTCCTTCCCCAGCACTGTGTTGTTAAAGGAAGGCTGGTAAGGCCCTCCGACTGAATCCTGGCGTGCCCAGGGTGAGGAGGGTCCCTGCTGGCCCTGGAGGGTGTCTTCCTGGCCTCACGCGTCTTTGAATTCATTTGAGTCATGGTCACCACAGCGGCCCAGGGCTGGGTCTCGGTTGTGATTGCAGGGTGTGGCATGGCCTCCATAGAGGATTCTGGAAGGTGAGCTGTCTTCCCTGTGCAGTGGCCTTAACCTGTTGGGGTCACGACTGCAGGCTGAGGTGCCGTGGACCTTGGCCTGAGGGTGGGAGGAGGGAGGCCTGCGTGTGGCTGGGGAGTGGGCAGCTGGGTGGGGCTGCGGTGGCAACGGCCCCCACGCGCGTGGCTCTCAGTGCCGCACCCACACCCTGAGATGCTGAGGTGGGGCCTGTGTCATTCCCTGGTTTCCAGGGGAGACCAGGCCCTCGCTGCCCCGTGGGGGGTGCCACATGGGTCAGGGGAACGTGGCGGCCCTCTGCCGGGTGCGGGTCCTTGGGGAGGCAACTTCCGGGAGTTGCCCTGTGGGTGCTGGGGCCTCACCATAGCGCCGATGCCCCACTCGAGGTTCCCACATTTGCCACCCTGCACAGTCCTGCATGTGCAGTCATGGGCCTGAGGCTACACATGAGAGGCAGCTGGCGGCGCCCCTTGGCACTGCAGGTGGATGGTGTGGCCGTCCTGCTTTTTGCTCAAGCTCCAGTGTGGTTTCCTGTTAGCTAATGCCCTCCCCCCACCCGCCATTCTAGCTGAGTGTCCATCTGCAAAGCCAAAGCAATACCGGGGTGATGATGGGAACACGTGTGGTCTCTATAGGGAAGGGTCCTTTGGGGCTGTAAGCGCCGAAGACACGGGCTATCATCTGGCCTTGGTTCCCCGGGCACGGGGCAGAAGCCTCAGTGCATCCAGATGACGTGCCTTTTGCTCTGCACCTGGACTCAGGACATGGGTTGAGCCTGCAGGACTCACCGTGCATGTTGGGGGCCCGCCTTCTGGAGGGCAGGGGTCTAGGGGACAAGTGGGCCCAGGAGTTCCTTCCTGGAGAGTAAGCCTACTGAGCTCAGGCAGGGTGACCCAGCCATAGGTGGGGTGCAGGGTCCCTCAAGACGGAGGGTGTCACGGGAGAGCAGTCCTGATCTAGGAGGGGGACAAGGGCCTGCAGGGGAGGGCCTGGGGCCACAGCAGTGTCCCTTCTGGGCCCAGACTGATGTTGGGCCAGTCCCGTGGACCAGGAGTGGGTCTGGGGACCTAGGAACGCGAGGGCGTGGGAGCCACCAGGAATCTTTGGGAGCCTTTGTGCTTTGACCAGTGCCAGTTTATTTGTCATCTGTTCACCGGGGCTGTGGTGCACAGCGCCTGGGTGCCCCTCCTCAAGGTACGCTTTGTCGGTGGGCAGGTGGGGTGCTCCTCCCCCTTTGCTTCCCTCTGCTCACTGTGACCTGTGTCTCTCCCCAAGCATCTCTGCTCGGGGGCCCAGCCTCCCCAGGAGTCCCTTCTGGATGGCTTTCCTTGCTGCTGTCATCCTGGGTCCTGGGTGCAGTAGGACTGGAGGCCGTGTGCATGAGCAGTGGGCGTGGCAGGCAGTAACCCATGTGGCCCCAGAGGCCAGCCAGTCCACTGCAGCCTGCTGGGTCCAGTTGGGATCTGCAGGGCCGCTGCCTGCACCCCCTTTCTCTTCAGGGGCCCGGCTGAGCCACCTCCCAAGGGCTCTGGGAGGCCATGGCTGTGCCTTGGAAGGGGCTGCAGGGCAGCGTGTCGGGGTAGTTTTGTGGGCGCAGCTCTAGTCTCCGCAGCGCTGGCGGCGGCACGCACAGCTGCTGAACACTTGCACTGTGAGCACCAGCGGCTGCCCCCACACCACAGGGTCCTCGCAGGGCAGCATGAGCCGCTTCTCGTAGGAGCTGACGGGGTGGCAGCAGCTGCAGGTGGTGGCCACTTGCATGGTGTTGGTGTTGAAGCTGCAGAGGAGTGGTGGTGGGAGCATGTGTCAGGGCGGCCACCTCAGGGTGCCCCTCCCGGGCCCTCGGAGAGGTGGGTGCCAGGATCCCAGCCTGGGCCTTCAGGGAGGGGCTGGCCCCCGTTTCTGAGCTCCCCCGCCCCCAGCAGGTGTGGCGCAGACAGGTGTTTGTGTGTGGGCCAGGGTGACCTCACGGGGCTGGGAGCTCTCGGCGGATCTTCCCTAGCTTCTGGGAGAAGTGCCTCCGTCGGGCCAGGCGGGCTCCCAGCCCAGCCCAGACCCGGACAGACACCGCTCAGGGCTGATGGCTCACCTGGCTGAGGAGGTGCACACACCCTCGCAGCGGGTCACCGTGATGTTGGCTGTGCACCCCTGGTAAGTGACTTCTTCATCAGACTCCTTCACGCTGCAGGCCCCTGGGCGTGGAGAGGTGGGTGTCAGACAGCGACCCCGGGTCGTGACTTCTGGGGCTCTGCACCTGGCCCCCTCGAGAGCAGGAGCTGACATACCTGGCTCTAGGACGCGGGTTTTTAATCCCCTTTTTGTGTGGCAGAGTGGGTGGTGCTGGCTCCACCGAGGAAAGGCTGCCAGCTGCCTGACTGCTTACTGATCTGAACAGGACCACGTGGGCACCTGCCAGCTCTCTCCTGCCCACAGTGGTGTCTTCCTTGGGCCCCCACCCTGGGCCCCGGGCCATCTCTCCTTGTCTGAGCCCCACTGAGGTCAGACCTCACAGCTTTGTGTGGAAACAAAGCCTGATATTAAGTCTCTCGTTTTTTCTTACTGAAAATTGGCTACATTGGGAGTCTCTCAAGGTCAAGGGTTTCTGAGGATGAGGCAGATTTCCAGCCCCGGCCCTGGTGGAGCCATGCTCAGCTCCCAGCCGCCCTCGCCACCTTCCCTCCTGCCCCAGCACCCACCTGTGGGTGGAGGTGTCTCTGGTCTACTGGTCTCAGTACCTGTGAGAGGGACGGGGTAGGTGTCAGTGTACCCCATGGGAACAGATGGTATCACAAGAGCTCCCTGCAGTGGTCTGTGCTCCTGGGGGTGGGGCGGGGTGTGGACCCGGCTGTGAGCTCTGCCCTGCGTGCATCCCAGTGGACAGGCTGTAATGACGAGTTATCCTGGGTGCCTGTCAGAGAACTGCTAGTGTGGGACTTGAGTGAAAAAGGGAAGACTGGACAGTCTTTCTCGCCTTCCCACCTGCCCCCTTGTGGGGCCTCCCTGTGGCTTCAAGCCCTGCCTGCCTTGCTTTTCCACTGGAGGTGAGGTGAGAGGCTTGGTGGGGACAGAGCTCTGGATGCTTCCCTGTGGTTCCCATTGCCCCCAGCTCTCCTCCCCTTGATCTCCTGCTCCTGCTCTTTCATCCCATGTTCTGGGTCTCCTCCTCCCAGGCAGCCTCTACCCTGTCCTTGTCTCACAAAAGAAAATGCTATTTTTCAGTGCCATTCTGGAGTGGTGGAAGTCCCACTAGGGGAAGCCTGGGGATGTGTGAGAGGAGTCTGGTCCAGGGGATGCATGCCATGCAAGGGAGAGGCATCCCTGGAGGACAGGGTTTCTTGAGCAGGAAGGCAGAGCAGAGCTGGAGGCACCTGCGGTGCTGAGACCTGGGCAGGCACTGAGCCTGGAGCACGGGCACCCCAGCTGCTAGTTTCAGTTCAGCCCCGGCAGGCACCTGAAGTGAGGTGTGTGTGTACTTTTTGCAACCTGGGGGTGGCTGGCCAGGCTGGAGTTCACTGGGACCTGGCCAAGAAAGGCTGAGGAGAGGCCCAGAGGACATGAGAGCAGCATACAGCAGAGGACAAGATGGAGAGGGGGGGTGGGAGAGGTGTGACCCTGTCCTTCTAGACACCCCCAGGACACAGCTGGAGCACCAGAGCTCAGAGACCTAGAGTGGCACGCCACTGCTGGTCAGAGGCTGTGGCTGTGGCTCCAGCTGGTTATGCGCGACCCCAAGTCTACTCATTGTCCTGTGCCGCCTGACCGTCCCTAGGCAGGGCAAGTGATAGCTTTAGGGGGAAGACACACTTGCTGTGAGAGCTGGACCAGCCACTGTGGGTGTGGGCAAGGCATGATGGGGCACAGCAGGGATCAGGAGAGAGCACCCATGGGGTCATCAGGAGGTATGAGGGGGTAAGAAAAGGCGGGGATCCAGTGGGACTGACCCAGAGTGTTGTCCAGAGCGCAGAGACAAGGCAGAGAAGAAGTGTGCCCCGTGGGTCACAGAGGAGGAGGAGGCTGCAGAGATGTCACTCACCTGCAGGGCTGGGAAGAGATGTGGCAAGAGAGGAGATGGACTGGCTCTCAGTGGACACAGACCCGGTGGTGGGAAAGGAGGAGCTTCCGTGTGCAGTGATGGAGCTGGTCAGGAACATGGTAGTCTGCAGCCCAGTGGTACTCAGCTGTCTAGTGGTGAGGTTGGTGGCTGGGGAACTTGGGATGGCTGTCACCCCCAGGGTAGAAGACAGGAGGCTGTGGGTGGGGGTTTGGGTGGTGAGAGAGGTGGACTGTGAGGTGGTGGACTGAGAAGATGGGACGGAGGAAGTGGGGCTGCTGGCTGTGGTCCGGGGTGTAGACAGGACTATGGTACTAAAACTGGGGACAGGGGACAGGGTGGGAGACGATGGAGGTGAGTGGGAGGACCTGATGGGTGTGGAGGTGGCTGGGGAAGGGGGGCTGGTCGACAGGGAGGCTGTTTGTGATACAGTCAGAGGTGCAGAGGGGGAGGGACTGTGTGGAGCTGAACTAACAGTTGGGATGCTGTGTGAAGTGGAAACTGCAGAAGGTGAAGGGGAAGATGATATAAAAGGAGAGGTGTTCGAGGACACATGAGAAGGAGGAGAGGAAATAGTGGGTAAGGAGGAGGGTTTCAAGATACTGGAAGAAGAGTGTTCATGTGGAAGAGTTGACACGGAAACAGAAGTGGTTAAAGGACTTTGGCTTGGGTTTAGAGAAGTTGGAGAAGATAATGGAGAGCTGAAGCTAGAACTTTGTGGCAGGGCTGTGATGACCAAGCTCTGGGTTTGTGTGCTCCCTGTTGTGGTCTTTGTGAGTGGCAGGGTTGTGGGTGTGGTGGTCCCTATTGTTAATAGTGGGGATATGGATGTGGGTGCTGTGGATGTGACCGGGATGTGTGTCAATGGCGTTGGGGTGCCAGTAGGCTTTGTGGTGGAGTAGGTAGCATGGGACTCAGTTGGGGTAATGACTCGGTGAGAGGTTGGAGTCACCGAGGTGGTGGCAGATGTTGACACATGGATGGGAAGGGTCTCTGGATGTGATGGGGTGGAATGGGGGGTGGTGGTCTGGAAGGACGTTCCTGTTGGCAGAGCTCTTGTGTGAGAGGTGGTGTGGACAGAAAAGGTGGCACTGGACTGAGTGGTGAATGGAGTGTGTGGCCCAGTGGGGGTGGCTGTTGTAGTGTGTGTCATGGGTGTCCCAGTGCCTCTACTAGTAGATGTAAGGGAGATAGTAGTGAGTGGTGGAGAAGTGGTTATAGGGAGGATGGTTGAAGTAGAGTGTGATATTGGGGCTGTGGAGGTTGTTACTGTGCTGACTGAGTTTTGGGCTTGAGTGGTCCCTGTTGTGGTCTTTGTCAATGGTGGGGCTGTGGGTATGGTGGTCCCTGTGGTGGTTTTGGTCAGTGGTGGGGTTTGGGATGTGGTGGTTCCTGTTGTGGTGTTTGTCAATGGTGGGACTGTGGGTGTGGTGGTCCCTGTGGTAGTCTTTGTCAGTGGTGTGACTGTGGTGGTCTCTTTTGTGGTCTTTGTCAGTGGTGTGACAGTGGGTGTGGTAGTCTTTGTCAGTGGTGTGGGTGTAGTGGTTTCTGTTGTGGTCTTTGTCAGTGATGTGGCTGTGGGTGTGGTGGTCCCTGTGGTAGTCTTTGTCAGTGGTGTGACTGTGGTGGTTTCTGTGGTAGTTTTTGTCAGTGATGTGGGTGTGGTGGTCTCTGTTGTGGTCTTTGTCAGTGGTGTGACTGTGGGTATGGTAGTCTGTGTCAGTGGTGTGGGTGTGGTGGTTTCTATGGTGGTCTTTGTCAGTGGTGTGGGTGTGGTGGTTTTTGTCGGTAGTGTGGGTGTGGTGGTCTCTGTTGTGGTCTTTGTCAGTGGTGTGACTGTGGGTGTGGTGGTCTCTGTCAGTGGTGTGACTGTGGGTGTGGTGGTCTCTGTTGTGGTCTTTGTCAGTGGTGTGACTGTGGGTGTGGTGGTCTTTGTCAGTAGTGTGGGTGTGGTGGTCTCTGTTGTGGTCTCTGTCTGTGGTGTGACTGTGGGCGTGGTGGTCTTTGTCAGTGGTGTGACTGTGGGTGTAGTGGTCCCTGTGGTGGTCTCTGTCAGTGGTGTGGCTGTGGTGGTCTCTGTCAGTGGTGTGACTGTGGGTGTAGTGGTCCCTGTGGAGGTCTCTGTCACTGGTGTGGCTGTGGGTGTGGTGGTCTTTGTCAGTAGTGTGACTGTGGGTGTGGTGGTCTTTGTCAGTGGTGGGGCTGTGGTGGTTTCTGTTGAGGTCTTTGTCAGTGGTGTAGCTGTGGGTATAGTGGTCCCTGTGGTGGTCTTTGTCAGTGGTGTGACTGTAGGTATGGTGGTCTCTGTTGTCTCTTTTAGCGGTGTGGCTGTGGATGTGGTAGTCTCTGTCAGTGGTGTGACTATGGATGTGGTGGTCCTTGTCTGTGGTGTGACTGTGGGTGTGGTGGTCTTTGTCAGTGGTGGGGCTGTGGTGGTCTCTGTTGTGGTCTCTCTCAGTGGTGTGACTGTGGCTGTGGTGGTCTCTGTCAGTGGTGTGGCTGTGGGTGTAGTGGTCCCTGTGGTGGTCTCTGTCAGTGGTGTGACTATGGGTGTGGTGGTCTCTGTCAGTGGTGTGGCTGTGGGTGTGGTGGTCTCTGTCAGTGGTGTGGCTGTGGGTGTGGTGGTCCCTGTGGTGGTCTCTGTCAGTGGTGTGACTATGGGTGTGGTGGTCTCTGTCAGTGGTGTGGCTGTGGATGTGGTGGTCTCTGTCAGTGGTGTGGCTGTGGATGTGGTGGTCTCTGTCAGTGGTGTGGCTGTGGATGTGGTGGTCTCTGTCAGTGGTGTGACTGTGGCTGTTGTGGTCCCTGTGGTGGTCTCTGTCAGTGGTGTGGCTGTGGATGTGGTAGTCTCTGTCAGTGGTGTGACTATGGATGTGGTGGTCCTTGTCTGTGGTGTGACTGTGGGTGTGGTGGTCTTTGTCAGTGGTGGGGCTGTGGTGGTCTCTGTTGTGGTCTCTCTCAGTGGTGTGACTGTGGCTGTGGTGGTCTCTGTCAGTGGTGTGGCTGTGGGTGTAGTGGTCCCTGTGGTGGTCTCTGTCAGTGGTGTGACTATGGGTGTGGTGGTCTCTGTCAGTGGTGTGACTGTGGGTGTGGTGGTCTCTGTCAGCCGTGTGACTGTGGGTGTAGTGGTCCCTGTGGTGGTCTCTGTCAGTGGTGTGACTGTGGGTGTAGTGGTCCCTGTGGTGGTCTCTGTCAGTGGTGTGGGTGTGGTGGTCTTTGTCAGTGGTGGGGCTGTGGTGGTTTCTGTTGAGGTCTTTGTCAGTGGTGTGACTGTGGCTGTGGTGGTCCCTGTGGTGGTCTCTGTCAGTGGTGTGACTGTGGGTGTAGTGGTCTCTGTCAGTGGTGTGACTGTGGGTGTGGTGGTCTCTGTCAGTGGTGTGACTGTGGGTGTGGTGGTCTCTGTCTGTGGTGTGACTGTGGGCATGGTGGTCTCTGTGAGTGGTGTGACTGTGGGTGTGGTGGTCTCTGTCAGTGGTGTGACTGTGGCTGTTGTGGTCCCTGTGGTGGTCTCTGTCAGTGGTGTGGCTGTGGATGTGGTGGTCTCTGTCAGTGGTGTGGCTGTGGATGTGGTGGTCTCTGTCAGTGGTGTGGCTGTGGATGTGGTGGTCTCTGTCAGTGGTGTGACTGTGGCTGTTGTGGTCCCTGTGGTGGTCTCTGTCAGTGGTGTGGCTGTGGATGTGGTAGTCTCTGTCAGTGGTGTGACTATGGATGTGGTGGTCCTTGTCTGTGGTGTGACTGTGGGTGTGGTGGTCTTTGTCAGTGGTGTGACTGTGGGTGTAGTGGTCCCTGTGGTGGTCTCTGTCAGTGGTGTGGCTGTGGTGGTCTCTGTCAGTGGTGTGACTGTGGGTGTAGTGGTCCCTGTGGTGGTCTCTGTCAGTGGTGTGGCTGTGGGTGTGGTGGTCTTTGTCAGTAGTGTGACTGTGGGTGTGGTGGTCTTTGTCAGTGGTGGGGCTGTGGTGGTTTCTGTTGAGGTCTTTGTCAGTGGTGTAGCTGTGGGTATAGTGGTCCCTGTGGTGGTCTTTGTCAGTGGTGTGACTGTAGGTATGGTGGTCTCTGTTGTCTCTTTTAGCGGTGTGGCTGTGGATGTGGTAGTCTCTGTCAGTGGTGTGACTATGGATGTGGTGGTCCTTGTCTGTGGTGTGACTGTGGGTGTGGTGGTCTTTGTCAGTGGTGGGGCTGTGGTGGTCTCTGTTGTGGTCTCTCTCAGTGGTGTGACTGTGGCTGTGGTGGTCTCTGTCAGTGGTGTGGCTGTGGGTGTAGTGGTCCCTGTGGTGGTCTCTGTCAGTGGTGTGACTATGGGTGTGGTGGTCTCTGTCAGTGGTGTGGCTGTGGGTGTGGTGGTCTCTGTCAGTGGTGTGGCTGTGGGTGTGGTGGTCCCTGTGGTGGTCTCTGTCAGTGGTGTGACTATGGGTGTGGTGGTCTCTGTCAGTGGTGTGACTGTGGCTGTTGTGGTCCCTGTGGTGGTCTCTGTCAGTGGTGTGGCTGTGGATGTGGTGGTCTCTGTCAGTGGTGTGGCTGTGGATGTGGTGGTCTCTGTCAGTGGTGTGACTGTGGCTGTTGTGGTCCCTGTGGTGGTCTCTGTCAGTGGTGTGGCTGTGGATGTGGTAGTCTCTGTCAGTGGTGTGACTATGGATGTGGTGGTCCTTGTCTGTGGTGTGACTGTGGGTGTGGTGGTCTTTGTCAGTGGTGGGGCTGTGGTGGTCTCTGTTGTGGTCTCTCTCAGTGGTGTGACTGTGGCTGTGGTGGTCTCTGTCAGTGGTGTGGCTGTGGGTGTAGTGGTCCCTGTGGTGGTCTCTGTCAGTGGTGTGACTATGGGTGTGGTGGTCTCTGTCAGTGGTGTGACTGTGGGTGTGGTGGTCTCTGTCAGCCGTGTGACTGTGGGTGTAGTGGTCCCTGTGGTGGTCTCTGTCAGTGGTGTGACTGTGGGTGTAGTGGTCCCTGTGGTGGTCTCTGTCAGTGGTGTGGGTGTGGTGGTCTTTGTCAGTGGTGGGGCTGTGGTGGTTTCTGTTGAGGTCTTTGTCAGTGGTGTGACTGTGGCTGTGGTGGTCCCTGTGGTGGTCTCTGTCAGTGGTGTGACTGTGGGTGTAGTGGTCTCTGTCAGTGGTGTGACTGTGGGTGTGGTGGTCTCTGTCAGTGGTGTGACTGTGGGTGTGGTGGTCTCTGTCTGTGGTGTGACTGTGGGCATGGTGGTCTCTGTCAGTGGTGTGACTGTGGGTGTGGTGGTCTCTGTCAGTGGTGTGACTGTGGCTGTTGTGGTCCCTGTGGTGGTCTCTGTCAGTGGTGTGGCTGTGGATGTGGTGGTCTCTGTCAGTGGTGTGGCTGTGGATGTGGTGGTCTCTGTCAGTGGTGTGGCTGTGGATGTGGTGGTCTCTGTCAGTGGTGTGACTGTGGCTGTTGTGGTCCCTGTGGTGGTCTCTGTCAGTGGTGTGGCTGTGGATGTGGTAGTCTCTGTCAGTGGTGTGACTATGGATGTGGTGGTCCTTGTCTGTGGTGTGACTGTGGGTGTGGTGGTCTTTGTCAGTGGTGGGGCTGTGGTGGTCTCTGTTGTGGTCTCTCTCAGTGGTGTGACTGTGGCTGTGGTGGTCTCTGTCAGTGGTGTGACTATGGGTGTGGTGGTCTCTGTCAGTGGTGTGACTATGGGTGTGGTGGTCTCTGTCAGTGGTGTGGCTGTGGGTGTGGTGGTCCCTGTGGTGGTCTCTGTCAGTGGTGTGACTATGGGTGTGGTGGTCTCTGTCAGTGGTGTGACTGTGGGTGTAGTGGTCCCTGTGGTGGTCTCTGTCAGTGGTGTGACTATGGGTGTGGTGGTCTCTGTCAGTGGTGTGACTGTGGGTGTGGTGGTCTCTGTCAGTGGTGTGGCTGTGGGTGTGGTGGTCCCTGTGGTGGTCTCTGTCAGTGGTGTGACTATGGGTGTGGTGGTCTCTGTCAGTGGTGTGACTGTGGGTGTGGTGGTCCCTGTGGTGGTCTCTGTCAGTGGTGTGACTGTGGGCGTGGTGGTCTTTGTCAGCAGTGTGACTGTGGGTGTAGTGGTCCCTGTGGTAGTCTCTGTCAGTGGTGTGACTGTGGGTGTGGTGGTCCCTGTGGTGGTCTCTGTCAGTGGTGTGGGTATGGTGGTCTCTGTTGTGGTCTCTGTCAGTGGTGTGACTGTGGGTGTGGTGGTCTCTGTCAGCCGTGTGACTGTGGGTGTAGTGGTCCCTGTGGTGGTCTCTGTCAGTGGTGTGACTGTGGGTGTAGTGGTCCCTGTGGTGGTCTCTGTCAGTGGTGTGGGTGTGGTGGTCTTTGTCAGTGGTGGGGCTGTGGTGGTTTCTGTTGAGGTCTTTGTCAGTGGTGTGACTGTGGCTGTGGTGGTCCCTGTGGTGGTCTCTGTCAGTGGTGTGACTGTGGGTGTAGTGGTCTCTGTCAGTGGTGTGACTGTGGGTGTGGTGGTCTCTGTCAGTGGTGTGACTGTGGGTGTGGTGGTCTCTGTCTGTGGTGTGACTGTGGGCATGGTGGTCTCTGTCAGTGGTGTGACTGTGGGTGTGGTGGTCTCTGTCAGTGGTGTGACTGTGGCTGTTGTGGTCCCTGTGGTGGTCTCTGTCAGTGGTGTGGCTGTGGATGTGGTGGTCTCTGTCAGTGGTGTGGCTGTGGATGTGGTGGTCTCTGTCAGTGGTGTGGCTGTGGATGTGGTGGTCTCTGTCAGTGGTGTGACTGTGGCTGTTGTGGTCCCTGTGGTGGTCTCTGTCAGTGGTGTGGCTGTGGATGTGGTAGTCTCTGTCAGTGGTGTGACTATGGATGTGGTGGTCCTTGTCTGTGGTGTGACTGTGGGTGTGGTGGTCTTTGTCAGTGGTGGGGCTGTGGTGGTCTCTGTTGTGGTCTCTCTCAGTGGTGTGACTGTGGCTGTGGTGGTCTCTGTCAGTGGTGTGGCTGTGGGTGTAGTGGTCCCTGTGGTGGTCTCTGTCAGTGGTGTGACTATGGGTGTGGTGGTCTCTGTCAGTGGTGTGACTGTGGGTGTGGTGGTCTCTGTCAGTGGTGTGGCTGTGGGTGTGGTGGTCCCTGTGGTGGTCTCTGTCAGTGGTGTGACTATGGGTGTGGTGGTCTCTGTCAGTGGTGTGACTGTGGGCGTGGTGGTCTTTGTCAGCAGTGTGACTGTGGGTGTAGTGGTCCCTGTGGTAGTCTCTGTCAGTGGTGTGACTGTGGGTGTGGTGGTCCCTGTGGTGGTCTCTGTCAGTGGTGTGGGTATGGTGGTCTCTGTTGTGGTCTCTGTCAGTGGTGTGACTGTGGGTGTGGTGGTCTCTGTCAGCCGTGTGACTGTGGGTGTAGTGGTCCCTGTGGTGGTCTCTGTCAGTGGTGTGACTGTGGGTGTAGTGGTCCCTGTGGTGGTCTCTGTCAGTGGTGTGGGTGTGGTGGTCTTTGTCAGTGGTGGGGCTGTGGTGGTTTCTGTTGAGGTCTTTGTCAGTGGTGTGACTGTGGCTGTGGTGGTCCCTGTGGTGGTCTCTGTCAGTGGTGTGACTGTGGGTGTAGTGGTCCCTGTGGTGGTCTCTGTCAGTGGTGTGACTGTGGGCGTGGTGGTGTTTGTCAGTGGTGTGACTGTGGGTGTAGTGGTCCTTGTGGTGGTCTCTGTCAGTGGTGTGGCTGTGGGTGTGGTGGTCTTTGTCAGTGGTGTGGGTGTGGTGGTCTGTGTTGTGGTCTTTGTCAGTGGTGTGGGTATGGTGGTCTCTGTTGTGGTCTGTGTCAGTGGTGTGGATGTGGTGGTCTCTGTCAGTGGTGTGACTGTGGGTGTGGTGGTCTCTGTCAGTGGTGTGATTGTGGGTGTGGTGGTCTTTGTCAGTGATGTGACTGTGGGTGTAGTGGTCCCTGTGGTGGTCTCTGTCAGTGGTGTGACTGTGGGCGTGGTGGTGTTTGTCAGTGGTGTGACTATCAGTGTAGTGGTCCCTGTGGTGGTCTCTGTCAGTGGTGTGGCTGTGGGTGTGGTGGTCTTTGTCAGTGGTGTGGGTGTGGTGGTCTCTGTTGTGGTCTTTGTCAGTGGTGTGATTGTGGGTGTGGTGGTCTTTGTCAGTGATGTGAATGTGGGTGTAGTGGTCCCTGTGGTGGTCTCTGTGAGTGGTGTGACTGTGGGTGTGGTGGTCTTTGTCAGTGGTGTGGGTGTGGTGGTCTGTGTTGTGGTCTTTGTCAGTGGTGTGGGTATGGTGGTCTCTGTTGTGGTCTGTGTCAGTGGTGTGGATGTGGTGGTCTCTGTCAGTGGTGTGACTGTGGGTGTGGTGGTCTCTGTCAGTGGTGTGATTGTGGGTGTGGTGGTCTTTGTCAGTGATGTGACTGTGGGTGTAGTGGTCCCTGTGGTGGTCTCTGTGAGTGGTGTGACTGTGGGTGTGGTGGTCTCTGTGAGTGGTGTGACTCTGGGCATGGTGGTCTTTGTCAGTGGTGTGACTGTGGGTGTAGTGGTCCCTGTGGTGGTCTCTGTCAGTGGTGTGGCTGTGGGTGTGGTGGTCTCTGTCAGTGGTGTGACTGTGGGCGTGGTGGTGTTTGTCAGTGGTGTGACTGTGGGTGTAGTGGTCCCTGTGGTGGTCTCTGTCAGTGGTGTGGCTGTGGGTGTGGTGGTCTTTGTCAGTGGTGTGGGTGTGGTGGTCTCTGTTGTGGTCTTTGTCAGTGGTGTGGATGTGGTGGTCTCTGTCAGTGGTGTTACTGTGGGTGTGGTGGTCTCTGTTGTGGTCTGTGTCAGTGGTGTGGATGTGGTGGTCTCTGTCAGTGGTGTGACTGTGGGTGTGGTGGTCTCTGTTGTGGTCTGTGTCAGTGGTGTGGATGTGGTGGTCTCTGTCAGTGGTGTGACTGTGGGTGTGGTGGTCTCTGTCAGTGGTGTGACTGTGGGCGTGGTGGTGTTTGTCAGTGGTGTGACTATGGGTGTAGTGGTCACTGTGGTGGTCTCTGTCAGTGGTGTGGGTGTGGTGGTCCCTGTGGTGGTCTCTGTCAGTGGTGTGGCTGTGGGTGTGGTGGTCTTTGTCAGTGGTGTGGGTGTGGTGGTCTCTGTTGTGGTCTTTGTCAGTGGTTTGGGTATGGTGGTCTCTGTTGTGGTCTGTGTCAGTGGTGTGGATGTGGTGGTCTCTGTCAGTGGTGTGACTGTGGATGTGGTGGTCTCTGTGAGTGGTGTGACTGTGGGTGTGGTGGTCTCTGTGAGTGGTGTGACTCTGGGCGTGGTGGTTTCTATTGTGGTCTCTGTCAGTGGTGTGACTGTGGGTGTAGTGGTCCCTGTGGTGGTCTCTGTCAGTGGTGTGGCTGTGGATGTGGTGGTCTCTGTCAGTGGTGTGGCTGTGGGTGTTGTGGTCTCTGTCTGTGGTGTGACTGTGGGTGTGGTGGTCTCTGTCAGTGGTGTGACTGTGGGTGTGGTGGTCTCTGTCAGTGGTGTGACTGTGGGTGTGGTGGTCTCTGTCAGTGGTGTGACTGTGGCTGTTGTGGTCCCTGTGGTGGTCTCTGTCAGTGGTGTGGCTGTGGATGTGGTGGTCTCTGTGAGTGGTGTGACTGTGGCTGTGGTGGTCTCTGTCTGTGGTGTGACTGTGGGTGTGGTGGTCTCTGTCAGTGGTGTGACTGTGGGTGTGGTGGTCTCTGTCAGTGGTGTGACTGTGGCTGTTGTGGTCCCTGTGGTGGTCTCTGTCAGTGGTGTGGCTGTGGATGTGGTGGTCTCTGTCAGTGGTGTGGCTGTGGATGTGGTGGTCTCTGTCAGTGGTGTGACTGTGGGTGTGGTGGTCTCTGTCAGTGGTGTGACTGTGGCTGTTAAGGTCCCTGTGGTGGTCTCTGTCAGTGGTGTGGCTGTCGTGGTCTCTGTGAGTGGTGTGACTGTGGGTGTGGTGGTCTCTGTCAGTGCTGTGGCTGTGGGTGTGGTGGTCTTTGTCAGTGGTGTGAGTGTAGTGGTCCCTGTGGTGGTCTCTGTCAGTGGTGTGACTGTGGGCATGGTGGTCTTTGTCAGTGGTATGACTGTGGGTGTAGTGGTCCCTGTGGTGGTCTCTGTCAGTGGTGTGGCTGTGGGTGTGGTGGTCTTTGTCAGTGGTGTGGGTGTGGTGGTCTGTGTTGTGGTCTTTGTCAGTGGTGTGGGTATGGTGGTCTCTGTTGTGGTCTCTGTCAGTGGTGTGATTGTGGGTGTGGTGGTCTTTGTCAGTGATGTGACTGTGGGTGTAGTGGTCCCTGTGGTGGTCTCTGTCAGTGGTGTGACTGTGGGCGTGGTGGTGTTTGTCAGTGGTGTGACTGTGGGTGTAGTGGTCCCTGTGGTGGTCTCTGTCAGTGGTGTGACTGTGGGCGTGGTGGTGTTTGTCAGTGGTGTGACTATCGGTGTAGTGGTCCCTGTGGTGGTCTCTGTCAGTGGTGTGGCTGTGGGTGTGGTGGTGTTTGTCAGTGGTGTGACTGTGGGTGTAGTGGTCCCTGTGGTGGTCTCTGTCAGTGGTGTGACTGTGGGCGTGGTGGTGTTTGTCAGTGGTGTGACTGTGGGTGTAGTGGGCCCTGTGGTGGTCTCTGTCAGTGGTGTGGCTGTGGGTGTGGTGGTCTTTGTCAGTGGTGTGGGTGTGGTGGTCTGTGTTGTGGTCTTTGTCAGTGGTGTGGGTATGGTGGTCTCTGTTGTGGTCTCTGTCAGTGGTGTGATTGTGGGTGTGGTGGTCTTTGTCAGTGATGTGACTGTGGGTGTAGTGGTCCCTGTGGTGGTCTCTGTCAGTGGTGTGACTGTGGGCGTGGTGGTGTTTGTCAGTGGTGTGACTGTGGGTGTAGTGGTCCCTGTGGTGGTCTCTGTCAGTGGTGTGACTGTGGGCATGGTGGTGTTTGTCAGTGGTGTGACTATCGGTGTAGTGGTCCCTGTGGTGGTCTCTCTCAGTGGTGTGGCTGTGGGTGTGGTGGTGTTTGTCAGTGGTGTGACTGTGGGTGTAGTGGTCCCTGTGGTGGTCTCTGTCAGTGGTGTGACTGTGGGCGTGGTGGTCTTTGTCAGTGCTGTGACTGTGGCTGTGGTGGTGCCTGTGGTGGTCTCTGTCAGTGGTGTGACTGTGGGTATGGTGGTCTCTGTCAGTGGTGTTACTATGGGTGTGGTGGTCTCTGTGAGTGGTGTGACTGTGGATGTGGTGGTCTCTGTGAGTGGTGTGACTGTGGGTGTGGTGGTCTCTGTGAGTGGTGTGACTCTGGGCATGGTGGTCTTTGTCAGTGGTGTGACTGTGGGTGTAGTGGTCCCTGTGGTGGTCTCTGTCAGTGGTGTGGCTGTGGGTGTGGTGGTCTCTGTCAGTGCTGTGACTGTGGGTGTGGTGGTCTCTGTGAGTGGTGTGACTCTGGGCATGGTGGTGTTTGTCAGTGGTGTGACTGTGGGTGTAGTGTTCCCTGTGGTGGTCTCTGTCACTGGTGTGACTGTGGGTGTAGTGGTCCCTGTGGTGGTCTCTGTCAGTGGTGTGGCTGTGGATGTGGTAGTTTCTCTGGTTGTCTCTGTCAGTGGCATGGCTCTGGGTGTGGTGGTCCCTGTGGTGGTGGTTGTCAGTGACGTGGCTGTGGCTGTGAGCACTGTCTCTGTGACAGGGATGTGTGTTGATGGGGAAGGGGTGCCAGTTGGCATTGTGGTGGAGAGGGTGGTATCGGACTCGGTCAGGGTGATGACCTGGTGAGAGGTCACCGGGGAGGTGGCTGATACTGACACGTGGATGGGAAGGGTCTTTGGAGGTGATGGGGTTGGGTAGGGTGTGGTGGTCTGGAGGAGTGTTGCCGTGGGTGGAGCTGTTGTCTGGGAGGTGGTAGGGAGAGGAAGCGAAAGGGTGGTGCTGGAGTGAGCAGTGAAGGGGGGCTCTGGCCCAGGGGGGCTGGCCGTGGAGTGGGCAGCCTGTGTGCTGTGACTGGTGGGGGCCGTTGGTTGCAGGCTGGTGTATGCTGTGCTGGGCCCTGTGGTGCTCTCTGGCGGCCGTGGGGGCTCCGTGCGCTGTGTCTCCTGGCTGATGGGGGTTTCGGGGGTCCATCGATGTGTTGAGGATGCTGTTGAAAACAGGGGCGTCATCTCACTCCCTCCCCCTTGTTACCCTGCTTTGGAGTCACCACGCCTTCCGCATTGGTCTCCTCACCTGTGGCTCTTGTGTGCCTGCTGGGGTGTCCAGCAGCTTTCTGAGTGACTCTTGTTCCCCTCCCAGCCCCCTGCCCCGGCATTGTCTGTGGGCCCTTGTTGCATCCTGAATGTCTGCAGTGGGTTTTGGGGTCCCTCCCTAGCAGCCCTACTCTCAGGGTGGGCTCCTGTGCTCTGGCCTCAGGCAGGCGCTTCCTCTTCCCTCCTGCTCTCAGGGAAATGGGGAGTTGGTGGCCCTGCCTCCGAGCTGGGGCCTGTGCTTGGCTTAGGGGCCTTTTGGAGCCCTGGCATGCTGAGGCCTGTGGATTCCCTCAGTGAGGGTGGCTGTGGGGGAAGGCTGCTTGGGTCTGCTGGTCTGGGAGATGTGCAGAGAGGAGTGTAATGAGCTGGGTGGGCTGCCCCCACCTTAGGCCCATGGTCACAAGGGTCGCCCACGGCCGCACTCTTCCACATGGCCCAGAGGCTCAGGCTGGGCACAGGGGCTGCCCTGTGGAGGCCCCTCTGCAGGGACAGGTGGTGGAGGCGTGCTTACTTGTGGGATGCCCTGTGGTGGTTCCTGATGTTGCCAGGGTTGGCGAGGCTGCAGTGGTGTGTGCCGTGGCCCGAGCTGTGGACTGCGTGGTCGTGCTGAGGGAGGGCCCCAGGGGCCGTGTGGTGGCCCAGGTCACGGGAGGGCCCATGGCTGTGGACCTTTGAGTGGCCGTGGGGGTCGCTGTGGATGTGGCCCGGGTGGTAACAGCAGAGGTGCTCTGAGGTGACTCTGCAGGGACGGTGCCCGGTGTCCCCGTCAGCCCCACCCACACGCCCCCTGGTGCTTCCTCACCCACCCCGGGCCCCTGCCTGGGCCTTACTCTCCGAGGAGACTGCTGGTTGTGTCCGGGTGGTCGGGGCTGTCCCTGCCTGTGTGGAGGAGGAGGCTGTGGCCGTGGCCAGGAGGCTGGGCGTCTGCGTGGGGACTGTGGGTGGTGGTGGGGAGCCGAGCCCAGTGCTGGGGGTCAGTGTGGTGCTGGCCATGGCTGGCGTGGTTTCTGTGGCAGGCGAGCCTGTGGGGGACATGCGTGTTGCTGTTGGGGGTAGGCAGCTGCCCCTGCACGCCCTTGGGGAGGAGCCCTCTCTTCCCTGCTGGGCTCCCGAGCCCCCTGGGCTGGGCAGGAGGCCCCGCGGTGCTCGGTGGCCGGGCATTGGGGTCTGCCTGCCCTTCCGGTCTGACTCCTTCCCCCAGGTGCACCTGCCCCCCACACCCACGCGCCCAGCTGCTGCCCCGGCGGACAGACACAGGCAGGCTGGCTGGGCCATCCTGCAGAGCAGAGCCGGGAGAGCCCAGGGAAGAGCCTGCATCACCGCGACACCTTGTGTGTGTGCAGTCACCTGTTGTGGGCGCTGGCGTGCTGGGCGGTGGCACTGCAAGAGGGGGGCCAGTCAGGAGCGCTGCCTCCCTGCCCCCACGCCCCCCAACCCAAGGAGCCCCTGCACAGCCTTTGGCTGTGTCCCCAGGGTCTGAGTCAGGAACCTGGGGGTTGGAGCTGCCGTGGAAGTGTCAGGACCCCACCCCCCCACTCCCTGTCGGCATGGTGGGCCTGGCAGGGACTGGCAGGGCTGGCTGGGTGCTGCCCCAGGGTCGCTGTAGGTGGTGGTCAGTGCCCCCTGGCTGCCTGTTGCTGAATCCCGAGGCGGTCCCTGCCCTGCACCCACACTCCTCAGCAGGCCTGGGTATGCCCTGTGACCAGAGGCTGAGAGAGTGGATGTTTGGTGGGGGGAGGCAAGGGCTGACCCTCTTCCCTGTGTGTCTGGCTGTGTCCCAGGGAGCGGGGTGCACAGGGGCTCTCTGGGAGCTCTGTGAGGGTTGGGGGCTTGCGGGCAGTGGGCTGAGCTTACTGCATGGCACACACGTCCCCGTGTCGTGATCGAAGTACTCATCCTGGGAGCAGTTGTAGCAGCCTGAGAGGTGCACGCAGAGAATGGCCAGACCTCAGTGCTGAGCCAGAAGCCCCTCTTCCCCTGGCCTCGGCCTTCCCGGAGGGCCTGTCAGGGTCCCCGCCGTCAGGCCCCCATCCCGCCTGTCAGTGGTCCTGACGCTGCAGGCCGCCCTCCTCCCGTCCCTTCCACACCCGAACCTTCGATGTTGTCCGGGATGCTCTGTGGCCACGCGGGGCAGAGGCATGGCTGGTAGCGCCACGTGCAGTTGGCCCCCTGGATGTACTGTAACTCACCGCCCACCTCCGTGTGCGTGTTGTAGAAGTCGCAGTACACGGCTAGGGGGAGGGACACCATCAGTGGCAGAGCCGGGCTCAGAGTCCCTTTAGGCTTAGGGTTCCCCCGGGCTCAGGGTCCCCCCGGGCTCAGGGTCCCCAGGGCTCAGGGTCCCCCCGGGCTCAGGGTCCCTCAGGGCTCAGGGTCCCCCCAGGCTCAGGGTCCCCAGGGCTCAGGGTCCCTCAGGGCTCAGGGTCCCCCCAGGCTCAGGGTCCCCCCGGGCTCAGGGTCCCTCAGGCTCAGGGTCCCCAGGGCTCAGGGTCCCTCAGGGCTCAGGGTCCCCCCAGGCTCAGGGTCCCCCCGGGCTCAGGGTCCCCCAGGCTCAGGGTCCCCAGGGCTCAGGGTCCCTCAGGGCTCAGGGTCCCCCCGGGCTCAGGGTCCCCCAGGCTCAGGGTCCCCAGGGCTCAGGGTCCCTCAGGGCTCAGGGTCCCCAGGGCTCAGGGTCCCTCAGGGCTCAGGGTTCCCCCGGGCTCAGGGTCCCTCAGGGCTCAGGGTTCCCCCGGGCTCAGGGTCACTCAGGGATCAGGGTCCCCCAGGCTCAGGGTCCCTCAGGGCTCAGGGTCCCTCAGGGCTCAGGGTCCCCCCGGGCTCAGGGTTCCCCCAGGCTCAGGGTCCCCAGGGCTCAGGGTCCCCAGGGCTCAGGGTCCCTCAGGGCTCAGGGTTCCCCCAGGCTCAGGGTCCCCAGGGCTCAGGGTCCCTCAGGGCTCAGGGTCCCTCAGGGCTCAGGGTTCCCCCGGGCTCAGGGTCCCCAGGGCTCAGGGTCCCCCCGGGCTCAGGGTTCCCCCAGGCTCAGGGTCCCCAGGGCTCAGGGTCCCCAGGGCTCAGGGTCCCTCAGGGCTCAGGGTTCCCCCGGGCTCAGGGTCCCTCAGGGCTCAGGGTTCCCCCGGGCTCAGGGTCACTCAGGGATCAGGGTCCCCCAGGCTCAGGGTCCCTCAGGGCTCAGGGTCCCTCAGGGCTCAGGGTCCCCCCGGGCTCAGGGTTCCCCCAGGCTCAGGGTCCCCAGGGCTCAGGGTCCCCAGGGCTCAGGGTCCCTCAGGGCTCAGGGTTCCCCCAGGCTCAGGGTCCCCAGGGCTCAGGGTCCCTCAGGGCTCAGGGTCCCCCCGGGCTCAGGGTCCCTCAGGGCTCAGGGTCCCTCAGGGCTCAGGGTCCCCCCGGGCTCAGGGTCCCTCAGGGCTCAGGGTCCCGCAGGGATCAGGGTCCCCCCGGGCTCAGGGTCCCCAGGGCTCAGGGTCCCTCAGGGCTCAGGGTTCCCCCAGGCTCAGGGTCCCCAGGGCTCAGGGTCCCTCAGGGCTCAGGGTCCCCCCAGGCTCAGGGTCCCCAGGGCTCAGGGTCCCTCAGGGCTCAGGGTTCCCCCAGGCTCAGGGTCCCCAGGGCTCAGGGTCCCTCAGGGCTCAGGGTCCCCCCGGGCTCAGGGTCCCTCAGGGCTCAGGGTCCCTCAGGGCTCAGGGTCCTTCAGGGCTCAGGGTCCCCAGGGCTCAGCGTCCCCAGGCTCAGGGTCCCTCAGGGCTCAGGGTCCCTCAGGGCTCAGGGTCCCCCCGGGCTCAGGGTCCCTCAGGGCTCAGGGTCCCCCCGGGCTCAGGGTCCCCCCGGGCTCAGGGTCCCTCAGGGCTCAGGGTCCCGCAGGGATCAGGGTCCCCCCGGGCTCAGGGTCCCCAGGGCTCAGGGTCCCTCAGGGCTCAGGGTCCCTCAGGGCTCAGGGTCCCCCCGGGCTCAGGGTCCCTCAGGGCTCAGGGTCCCCAGGGCTCAGGGTCCCTCAGGGCTCAGGGTCCCGCAGGGATCAGGGTCCCCCCGGGCTCAGGGTCCCCAGGGCTCAGGGTCCCTCAGGGCTCAGGGTCCCCCCGGGCTCAGGGTCCCTCAGGGCTCAGGGTCCCCAGGGCTCAGGGTCCCCAGGGCTCAGGGTCCCTCAGGGCTCAGGGTTCCCCCAGGCTCAGGGTCCCCAGGGCTCAGGGTCCCTCAGGGCTCAGGGTCCCCCCGGGCTCAGGGTCCCTCAGGGCTCAGGGTCCCTCAGGGATCAGGGTCCCCCAGGGCTCAGGGTCCCTCAGGGCTCAGGGTTCCCCCAGGCTCAGGGTCCCCAGGGCTCAGGGTCCCTCAGGGCTCAGGGTTCCCCCAGGCTCAGGGTCCCCAGGGCTCAGGGTCCCTCAGGGCTCAGGGTCCCTCAGGGATCAGGGTCCCCCAGGGCTCAGGGTCCCTCAGGGCTCAGGGTCCCTCAGGGCTCAGGGTCCCTCAGGGCTCAGGGTCCCCCCGGGCTCAGGGTCCCTCAGGGCTCAGGGTCCCGCAGGGATCAGGGTCCCCCCAGGCTCAGGGTCCCCCAGGGCTCAGGGTCCCCAGGGCTCAGGGTCCCTCAGGGCTCAGGGTCCCCCAGGGCTCAGGGTCCCCCCGGGCTCAGGGTCCCCCAGGGCTCAGGGTCCCTCCGGGCTCAGGGTCCCTCAGGGCTCAGGGTCCCCCCGGGCTCAGGGTCCCCCCAGGCTCAGGGTCCCCAGGGCTCAGGGTCCCTCAGGGCTCAGGGTCCCCCTGGGCTCAGGGTCCCCCAGGGCTCAGGGTCCCCAGGGCTCAGGGTCCCTCAGGGCTCAGGGTCCCCCAGGGCTCAGGGTCCCTCCGGGCTCAGGGTCCCCCCGGGCTCAGGGTCCCTCAGGGCTCAGGGTCCCTCCGGGCTCAGGGTCCCTCAGGGCTCAGGGTCCCCCCGGGCTCAGGGTCCCCCAGGCTCAGGGTCCCCAGGGCTCAGGGTCCCTCCGGGCTCAGGGTCCCTCAGGGCTCAGGGTCCCCCCGGGCTCAGGGTCCCTCAGGGCTCAGGGTCCCTCCGGGCTCAGGGTCACTCAGGGATCAGGGTCCCCAGGGCTCAGGGTCCCCCCGGGCTCAGGGTCCCTCAGGGCTCAGGGTCCCTCCGGGCTCAGGGTCCCTCAGGGCTCAGGGTCCCCCCGGGCTCAGGGTCCCTCAGGGCTCAGGGTCCCTCCGGGCTCAGGGTCACTCAGGGATCAGGGTCCCCCAGGCTCAGGGTCCCTCAGGGCTCAGGGTCCCTCAGGGATCAGGGTTCCCCCGGGCTCAGGGTCCCTCAGGGCTCAGGGTCCCTCAGGGATCAGGGTTCCCCCGGGCTCAGGGTCCCTCAGGGCTCAGGGTCCCGCAGGGATCAGGGTTCCCCCGGGCTCAGGGTCCCTCTGCAAGGCCTCCCTGGGCACAGCCCGCTGCCCATCCTGGAGAAGTGCCACAGCTGGGCAGCTCAGCCACAGCCCTGCGGAGGCTGGAGGGCCGGAGCAAGACTCACGGCAGAAGTCGGGGGACCGCCAGTCCACACACACGCCCTTGTCCACGCAAGCCTTGGCGTAGGCGGCCACAGCGTCACACAGGCACTCGCAGTCCCCGCCAGTGTCGCACGCGCATGTGTCCTGCACGCAGGCCTCATAGTAGGGCAGGCGGTAGACCTGTGGGCGGCCCTCGGAGTCAGGTGGGGGCTGGGCTCCCCCGCTGACCCTCTCTGACCGCTTGGCACTGGTGGGGCGGGGTGGGGCGGGGCCCACCTGGCCGTGGCAGGCAGCGAAGGTTTGGCTGTTGATGATGCTGCACTTGCGCTCTGCCCAGGAGCGGCGGAAGGCATTGAGGCTGCAGGGGTCCAGCGCAAAGGTGGTGTCGCCGCACAGAGGGCTCTCCTTCCAGGAGTTCACAAACTCCAGCTCACTGGATGCCAAGTACTTGCTGCGTGTCTGGAAGTCGTCCTTCATATTCCCATTGTAGTTGCCACACAGGCCGCAGAGGGGATCCTGCGGGAGCCAGTGTCAGGTGCCGAGCGGGCAGGGGCTTCCCACATCCCCGGGCTGCAGGGCGGGCAGTGGTACCTGGGAGGCGCGGGCAACCTTGATGAAGATGGTCATGTGCTTGTTCCAGGTGAGGGTCAGGTTGTACGTGCTGCCGATGGTGATGTCCAGCACCAGGTTCAGGGAGCCAGCCTTGACCCCGAAGTGCACGCCGGGGTCCTCCCCGCTCACCGTGTAGTTGGCGTCTGCCAGCACGATGGACAGGCCCTGGGGGGCGCAGCTGTCACAGACTGCCTGCCCCCTCCCGGCCCGAGCTCTCCCGGCCTGGGGGCCTGCCCTCTATAGCCTTCTTGGGAGAAGGTCCCAGGGCACTCTGGAATCTGCTGAGGGCTGAGGGTCAGGCTTGGGGGAGATCCCTCCCCACTGCACAGTTGTCCAGTTCTTGGGGACACTGCCAGCATGATGTGGACATGGAGGCCGGGGGCAGAGGGCGGCAAGGGCCCTAAGTGGCTAGGCTCTGGGGCCCCGGAGCAGTTGGGGAGGCCGCCTGCTTGCTCACCCCCAGGAGGATCTTTATGGCCCGCGAGCAGGTGACGCCCGACTTCCCGCACACGACGTTCTCTGTCAGGATCTTGAAGGTGGGCTGCGAGTCGCTGGCATTGCAGCCATCCTGTGGGGAAGGGGTGTTGAGAAGCTGGCCTCGTGGCCCCCAGCCCCACGTTGGCCCCCGTGGCCTGGCACGCACTCACCGTGACGAGGATGTACTCGCAGTTGCCCTCGAACACAAAGCGCTGCCCGTCAAAGGTGACCACATGGCCCTCCCCATAGAGGCTGCAGGTGGATGGGCAGTGGGCGCTCTGCTGGCAGGACCACGTCCCGTTTGAGCAGGTGCTGTGGAAGGAGCGGGGTGACCTGGAGTTTGGGGGATGACCTGGGCACACGCGCACCACAGGACCTTGACCTTTTGGGCTGGCGGGGCCCCTGCCCGCCCCAAGCACTTGACGACAGTTGGGCCACCAGGGTCTGCAGTGGGGCTGCAGCTCACCAGCTCTTACAGTTGGTGTGGAGCTCAGCGCCCCGGGGGTAGGAGACACCCGCAAACTCGCATGGGCACTCCTCAGGGGGCACGCACTGCCCACTGGCGTCCTCGTAGAGCCCCTCGGCACAGACACAGCCAGGCTCACACTTCGTGGGCACCTGCGGGAGGGGGGTCAGTGGCTCCTGGGCGTGGCCCCACTCGCTGCCACTACAGCCCTGGGCCCTTCTGAGGCCGCCCTCCCCACTGCGTTCTTCCCAGACCCCTCCCTGCGTGCACCCTGCTCTGGGCCTTTCTCTTACCAAAGCTGCCCCGCCCCACCCCTAGGGGCTGGGCTGCTCTGGCCCCTTCCCAAGTGGCAGGGCCCTCACTCAGGCCTCAAGGAACCCACAGAGAAGCGCGCTCAGTGGCCAGGCCGTCAGTCACATGCATCTTGGGGTGGGTGGGACGGAGTGTGGCCTGCCATCCCTGAAGGGTCTGTGGGAATCCTCTCATGGACCAAGAAGCTGCGGACGTCCACCGTGGGAATGTCCGCCCCAGGGCGTCCCTGGCTTCCTCAGGTAGTGGGGCCTGCTGTCCAAGGAGTGCCCTTGCCCCTCACTCCACCCAGCCTTACACAGGGTGTGCCAGTGGCCAGCATCTGACAGGTGGGGGCGCAGGCTGCCCCAAACTTGTCCTCCGAGGACTGGCTGCAGGACTGGAATGTCTTTGGGGCTGAGCAGGTTGCTGCAGACACAAGGGGCCCGGGGTGAGGGGGACACAGAGGAGCCAAGGCCCCCGCAGCCCAGCTCCGCCAGCCTCGGCCACAGCCACATACCCAAAAGCATCTGAGACCGCGCTGGACAGCTCAGCCGCCCGCTGATGCAGTGGCTGTGGGCGAGAGGCTGGGTAAGTGCCGCCTGGGCAGGGCTGCAGGCCGGGCAGCTGCCCTCCGGAGCCCTTGCTCACCAGACGACCCCATTGACCATGGTGGACTGGTCGGCCAGGATGAACCCGTGGTTGTCCAGAAGGCACGGGCACTGGGCCTTGCGCACACACTCGGTCTTGTGGTTCAGGTAGGTGCCCTCGGGGCAGTTGCAGCCGTCTACTGGCACAGCGCTGGGGTGGCACTCGGCCTCTCGGTCGGTCAGCGACAGGCACGTGTGGCCACAGGCCTGGCTGTCGTAGCTGAACGTCTGGTTGCCTGTGCAGGGAATGCCTGCGGGGGGGCCAGGGGACGGGAGCCACGTCCTGGGGAGGTGCCCTCCGTGTCCGCCCCGCAGGCCCCGCCCACCCAGCGCGCCCGCCCCGCAGGCCCCGCCCACCGCAAGGCCCCGCCCCGCAGGCCCCGCCCACCGCAAGCCCCGCCCCCGCCGCACGCACTGCAGTTGTCCACGCTGTTCCTCCAACCGTGTAGCAGGACGCCCCGCGAGGCGCATGCGAGCGCGTAGTCGCCAAGGGCGGCGCAGATGTGCGGGAAGGTCTCCTCGTAGTTGCAGGCCTGGTACACGCACCTCTGCGGGCCAGACAGTGGCCATGGGCGTCTGCCCTGGACCTCGAGAGTCCGCCCCGGGGCCCCCCATGCCCACGGCCCCGCCCACCTTGTAGAAGGGCTTGGGGTCCACGGTGGCGTGGCAGTTCTCGAACACCGCGCCCTTCTTCACCAGCACAGCACAGTGGGTCTCCGCACACACCTCTGGGGGGGGGGGCAGGCCGGCGTGGGTCAGCTGCCCGCCAGGGCCTCCCGCCCACCCTGCCCCTCCTGGGCAGCACTCACTGTTGAGCTGGCTCATGGAGCAGGGGTCGGTCTCACGCTCCAGCGCAGCGGGGCAGTTCCCCGCCCGCCAGGAGTCCACGAAAAGCGAGGCGGTGCCCTCGGCGATGCCCATGCTCGTGGTGAAATCGTCCGTCGTGTCCCCGTTGAAGTTGCCGCAGAGCCCTGGGCCGACGGCGAGGGTGGGTGGCCCGAGCTCCTTCCTGTCCTCCGCTGTGCTCCCCGAGGCCCCCTCCGCCCCTAACCACACTGGGAGGGCCAGCTGTGGTGCTGGATGGACCGGGTCAGCGCCAGGCTCTGCGGGGCCCTCCTCCTCTGCGGTGGCCAGGCCGGGCGGGGAGGGGCATCTGGGCCAGCCCTGGGCAGACTGGGATGGGACTCACCTCTGGTCTGGCCTCTGAACTGGGGCCCGACAGTGATGTACAGCTGGAACACAGGCCATAGCTGGATCACGAGCTCTAGCCCGAAGGTGCTGACCATCTGGAGGTGGGTGGATGTCTGCCTGAAGACCGTGATGTTTCCTGAGGGGACGGGGGCCTCAGCAGGTGGTCTGCTTCGGGACCCGGCCCAGTGAGGCCCCGGGTGCTGGGTGGGGTAGGGGACATACGCGTCTTGTATGGCAGCCACTTGATGTCGCCATTGTTGGTGACCACCTCGTCCTGAGAAATCACGATTTTGTCCTGGGGGAAGGAGGCCTGAGTTACAGGGGGCCGGGAGCAGGGGAAGCCCCCAACTCGTGCGGGCCAGGCAGGGTGACGTGGAAGCTGGGGTGGGTCTGCCTGGGGCCCCAGGCGGGCACAGGTGGGGTGGCCTCACCTGGCTGGACTTGTAGATGACAGCGACCAGGGAGGTCTCCGAGTGTGAGTAGCCAGACTTGTCAAACGCAGCCATGAGCGAACCGCCGTCAGGGAGCTGGGGGCTCTGGAGGAGGCGTGGCTCAGGTCAGGCCCAGGGCACTCACGGCGCCCCCCTGCCCGTGGCGGGGCCCCACCGGAGGCTGTGTCCTACCTGGACAAGGATGTAGGTGCAGGCGCCGTGGAAGCGGTAGGGCCTGGCGTCGAACGTGGTGACGAAGGAGCCGCCCTCCAGGGCACAGCGTCGTGGGCAGGGCCGCTCCTCACACTCCCAGTGGCCCCCTGTGCACCGGCTGTGGGTGACAGGCGTGATCCAGACAGCCCCCAGCATCCCCCTGCTGGCCTGCACGCCCTCTCCCGTGGCCCAGCACTCACCAGTTCTGGCAGGCAGCTGTTGTGACCTCCCCAGGGGCGTAGACCACCCCGCTGAGCGTGCAGGGACACTGGGGCTCGGACACGCAGCTGTGGTTTTTGGAGATGTCGTCCAGAACCATCCCTGCAGGAGAGCGGCTTCCTGGGGCTGCGGCCCGGGGACCCCTCCCCCGCCTGTGGGGGCACGGGAGAGCCCCCACCCTCGGCCCCGCCCCCTCCCTGGGTGCTGCCCCCTGGGCGGCAGGCCCTGCCCCGCCGCCGCCTCGCTCCCCGAGGGTGAGGACCAGCCCGGGCACAGTGAGGCGGAGCCTTCCCTAGGGCAAGTCCCAGGGGAGCGTCTGGGGCCACAGGTCCTGGCTCCAAGCCTGGGGTGGGAGGTCGGAGGCCCGGCTCTGGGCTCCTTTTGGGGGTCCTGGGAGGGTGGTGGCCTCACCTTCTGGGCAGAAGCAGCCGAAGGTGCAGAAGCTGGAGCAGCTATGCTGCGGGTTGGAGCAGGTCTGCACGCAGGTCTCGCCGCACTCCCGGTACACCTGGTTGGCCGGGCACTGGCCCACAGCTGCAGGTCAAGCGGCCCTGTGAGAGGGGCCCGCGGCCCCCGGCCTGACCCCCCACCACCCGCCCGGGCCCTCTCTGCTCGCTCGCTGGGACTCACAGCAGAGGTCAGGGCTCCGCCAGCTGTTGACGGGCTGGCCGGCCATGCTGCACTGGCGTGAGTACTCAGACAGCGTGGCGCAGCTGCAGTTGTGCCGGCTGGGCTGGATGCACGCGGCCATGTCTGCCTGGCAGCTCTGCAGGAAGGGCTCCCGGGGTACGGTGCACTCGGGCGCCACCAGGGTCAGCAGCTGCAGGCAGGTCTGGGCCTGGGCACAGGGCCACGCAGGGTCACGGAGGCCAAGGCACGCCCCCCCACACACATGTGCCCGCAAGGCTGGGGTGTCGCTGGCCTGGGTCCCCGCCCAACCCCATGCGCTGGCCCCACCCTGACAGTAGGGCCCCCACCTCCGACCCCAGGAGCCCGGCCCAGCTGCCTCACACACGTGCTCTGCCTGCAGGAGCCGGGGGCTGGGGATGGCCTCATAGGCGCAGATCTCGTTGGGGTCGTCCAGCTTCTGGAGGGCGGCGTACTTGTGGGGCTCCAGCAGTTGGCCTGGTGGGGGCAGGGTGGGGTCAGCGCCACGCTTGCTGGGCGACAGCGGGGCTGCCAGCCCTCACCTACCGTCCTCGCTCAGAAACTCGTTGGTCTTCTCGCCATCGAAGTTCCCGCACAGCCCGCACATCTTGCCCATGTACTTCCTCTCCACCAGGACCTGTGGGGGCAGGCACTGCTGTCGGGTGGGCGGGGAGGGGCACAGGGCCCCGGCGCCCCCCAGGAGCCACTCACGCCCACTCCAGGGGCGCAGAGCCCCCTCACAGGGCAGGACCTGGTGCCACGCCTCCCCAGGTCTGCCCGCCCGGCTCCCCTGTTCTCACTGTCTCGTCCTCAAGCCCCTTGAAAGCCCAGGCTCCCCAGCCCAGCCCCCGACCCCTGCTGACGCCCTTACCATGAGGTGGGCACCGGGACCCCACATGACCACCAGCTCCATCTCCAGCTGCTTGGCCAGCAGCCGCACGCTCTGTCCGAAGGGTGTGATCTGGAGCCCGTTGCTGGTGTGGGGCAGGCTGACCACCCTGCAGGGCAACCGTGGTCAGCGCCACCCCCGGGCCCCCAGCTGCCCCTCCCGGCTCTCCGGCCTACCCCACGTCCTTGACAGCAATGGCGGAGCCCTGCACGGTGACCACAGAGGCCCCCAGCTCCACAATGATCCGGGAGATGTTCCCCCCAGGCCCTCGCCGCAGCTGGACGCTGAAGGTGGACGGGGCATCCTTGCAGACGGCCGCGAAGACATAGTTGCAGGTCCCCGAGAGGTCATACGTGAGGCCATCGAAGGTGGAGAAGTGGTCAGCCCCCCATGTTGAGCACCGGCCCTTGTCTGGAGCTGCAGAGACGGTGGGGTCTTGGAGTCCTGCGTCCTACCAGCTGGCAGAGGGTCTGCGGCTGCTCCCAGTCTCCAGACACCCCCGGGGGTTGGCGGGGAGAGGGGCCTGCATCTCCACGCCCACCCAGCTCTGGGCTGGGGTCTGCCTCACGGGAGTGTGGGCCTCTGTCGGGCCTGGACTCTGGGACGTGAGGCGGCAGCTTAGCCTGCGTTCAGCGGGACCCCTGCCCCCACGCAGGATGAGCTCATCCCCCCCGGGGGAGGGGTGGGCTGGGGTCTCCGCTCGCAGAGACTCTAGGCCCCGCGCGCCATGTAGCCGGGCCATGGCCCTGTGCCCTGGGCAGTTCCTCAGGATGGGGGGCTGCCCGTGAGCCTCACCTGTCTGGGGGGCGTCCTTCACCCTGTGGAGCCCTGGGGGCACCGAGGAGCTGTCCTCCAGACCTGCGAGGACAGGGCCCCCCATCAGCACGCTGCCGCCCATGTCTGGGGGTGAGGTCCCAGTGCTGGCGGGTGGCAGGGTCATTGCGTGTGTCCTGGGGCCCCACCCCTGCCCCCACCGCTGTGCCCCCTGCCTCGGGGTGCACTGGGTTCCTGGCCACGCCGACTCCTGAGTCTCAGCATGGTGGCTGCCTGTGTCGTCCGTCTGGGTGACACCAGGAGCCGGCCCGCCTGCCTGATGGCCGTGGGGTCCCCGGCCGGCTGAAGGGGTGGCAACCTGGCCCCCTCCCCCTGCAGCGCCCACCATGCGGGGCTGCCCCTGGCACCTCTTCTCGGCTCACCACCAGCCCCCACAGCGCCTGGAGTTACGTCAGCTGTGCCACCCTGGACGGGCCCCATGGGGCTGGCACACACATTGTTCCTTCTGCACGCTTGGCGGCCCTTCCTGCACTGCCCATCCTGGTTGGCCCGGGCCCTGCTCAGAGGCCTCCATCCTGGAGTCCCCGGCCCCCAGACCCCGAAGTCGGAAGCGGTGCTTCCAGGCCTCTGATCCAGGAAGGCAGGGCCTCCCTCTCGCCTCCTTTGGGGCCAGCGTGGGGTCAGCGCTTAGAGACCCCGGCTCGCCCCAACCCCACCGTGTCCGCAGCCCGAACCCCCACGGCGCCAAAGCCATGCCCCTTGCCACCCCAGCGTCCTACACCCACCCTCGCTGGCTCCTGGCGTTTCTCTCCCCTTGGTTCTGGGCCCAGGTATGGGGGTCCCCAGAGCCTGGAATGGGCCCAGGGAGGCGGCCTTGGCTGGGCAAGGGTCCTGGGTGCTCAGAGCCACCCCTGGTGAGAAAGCTGGTCCCTGGGTGAGAGGTAAGGGTGGAATGGGCCCAGGCTGCCCACTGGCCTCGCGGCCTGCCCCCAGGCCGGGCACCTTTCCCTGGCTCCACACTGAGGTTGGAGGGGCCCTGAGGCTGCCAAGGGTCACAGCGGGGCAGCAGCTAAAGAGGTAGGCCTTCTCCTGGCTTGAGACCGGGCTCTGGGTCAGACCTGGTGCCTGCGGTCAGCCAGCAGGAAGGGCTTCCCCCGGGCCACGCGGTGATCCCTCTGGGCTGGCCCCTTCTGAGGGCCGGGCTGGGGGTGGGGGAGCCTCAGCCTGCAGTGGCCGCGATGCTGGGACGCTTGGCTGAGGGGCCTGGGGGAGGAGGAGGGGGACCCGCGTCCCCACAGCCTGACAGCTGATTCTGGCTGGGGCGGCCCTTCCAGCCCCTGCTTCTTTGATCCTCACATTGGCCACACAAGGGGAGTGTCGCCCCACTTTACAGACCGGGAAACCGAGGCCCCGAGCCCCGCCTCGGGCTTGCTGTTGGCAGCCAGGACTACCCGGAGTCAGCTCTCTCCCTGAGTCTTTTGACTTCAGTGCCCACAAGGCCCCCCGCATGCCCTCTGGCTGCCCCTGGGGACCCCAGAGGCCTCTCAGGCCCCAGGGCCCAGTGGGGCGTGCCAGTGCCAGGCTTCGGGCACTGAGGCCCCACCACTGTCCCCCGCCCAGCATGCCTGTGTCCCGAGGGGCCCCTGTCCCCTGACCTGCACGGACACGTGGGCCCTGGCCAGCGGGGCGGCTACGGAGCAGGGACAGGCCACCCTGGCCCGCTGGTCGTCTCCTGGTAACCGCCCCACCATCTCCTGGTCATCAGCGTCCACATGGCCCACCCGCCTCCCGCTGAGTCTCAGGCGAGAAGGCCTGGAGACGGACGGGCCCTGGGGGGGTCTGGCACCCCACTGCCCGCGGGCCCCCACTCACCGGCGCCGAGCAGGGCCCCCCCGCAGGAGAGGAGCAGGAGCAGCCGCGGCCCGAGCATGGTGCGAGGCGGGAGTGGTCACTGCAGGACCCGCGCCTCTGCGGGGGACAACGCGGCCGGCTGCACCTGTGTGGCCCGTGTGGGCGCCCTGCGCCTTATGTAGGGCGAGGCCTGCCCACCACGCCCACCGAGCCCCACACTCCATCCCCCAGCGGCCACGGCCGGCCGGGCGCCACGGCGGCCAAACAGGATCTCCGGTGCTGCTTTATCAGGACGTGGCCTTTAGAAAATTCTTGAGCGGGCAGTAGCCCCATAATTACTCACCCCTGGGCAGGGGGCTGGCACACATCCCCTGGGGTCCCGCAAACATCTCCGGTGTTTACTCGAGCTGCGGTTGCCAGGAGTCTCACGGGGTCAGTGGGGGAGTCAGCCCGGCACCTTCAGCCTCACTGAGAGGGGCATGTCTGGGCCGTGTTGGCAGAGATGCTGGGCTCCCCCCAGGGCACTGCTGGGGGGGCGGTCTCCACTCTCACCTGGATCCTTGTCCCTGAAATGGCGCCAGCCTGCTGGGCCCACCCCACCTGGGAGGAATGGACCCTTGGAGGGACCTCCAGAGGTCAACACCCGCCCTTGGGGTCCTGGGTGGGGGTTATCGTGCGGCTGGCCTGGGGCTCAGATGAACACCTCCCTGGAGGCCCCAGGAGCTTGTGGGGCCACCCCACCTCCCCAGTGTGGGTGCCCTGGTTGGCCAGCTCACCCCTAGAGACCCCCTTCTTGGCTGGCCTCCTGGGACCCTGGTCGTGCAGCACCCACACGCTCTGAGCTGCTGACCTCAGGCGCAGCGGGGGTGAGGTGGGCTCAGGGCTGCCCATCTGGGCACATCTTGGGGGGGGGTCTAGTGCCAGCCCCGGTGCTCAGCCCCTTCAGGCAGAGGAGCAGAGGCTATGCCCACACCCCCCAAGCGGGGCAGAGGACTGCTGCTGGGGCGGCACCTGGAGGAGCGGGAAGCGGGGGGCGGGGGGCGCGCTGGTGGGCACTTGTCCACGGGCAGTTCGGACGCCAGCCCTGTGAGGGGTCAGGGCGAGGGTCAGCTGGGGGGTCTCAATCAGGGGAGGGGGGGGTCAGGGCAAGGGGAGAATTGGGGCACAGGTGTTCGGAATCCTCCAGCTTCTCCCGCGTATCCTGGCTCTGAGTAGGGGCTGGGGGCCTGGCATGGAGGGGGCTCCCTGCTTCCTGAGGGGGTTCTGCCCACAGGGACTTGGAGTGCTGAGGCCTGGCTCCTTCCACAGAGGATCTGTGTCTGGGGCCTCCCCACACCTCACAGCCCTGCCTGGCCACCTGCTCCTGGCTCATAAGCACAGAAGATGCTGTGTGCTCGCCTAAAGAAATTGCGGTTTGTAGAATAGTGTTTAAAGAGGAACGCGCTCTCGGAGAGCTGCCGGCCCGAGGCCTAGGGCGGGCAGGCGGGACGTTCTCTGTCGTCTCTCCCCGCTGCTCTCCGCACCCCATCGGGGGTCCCAGGCCTAGGGTGCGTGGGCCCAGGCGGGCGGGGGCCTGCCCCGGAACCTCTCTGGCTGTCCCTGCAGGCGGGGTGGTGCTGAGAGCCGCCTTTGTTCTGGGGGTGATGGGTGCCCTTGGCCGTTGGCCATGCTTTGCCGGGGGGCCTCGGTGGGGGTCTGTCTGCCCTGGGGCTGCTCTGAGTGAAGGCTCAGGGCAGGCTGATGGGTTGGGGCTGGGGTCCCTCAGGGATGGGGGGTGGGCCTGCCCTCAGGCCTCCACCTAGCGAGGGCTCCAGGAAGGCACGTGCACCTGGATGAGGGGCCACAGGGAAGCAGGGCTCCGCGGCCACCGGACCACCTCCCACCCATCGGCCTGGGGCCCGGGTGCAGCCCAGGGTGGGCAGCGTGAGGCAGAGGGGGCTGGAGGGCTGCCCCTCCCCCGGGCCCCCTGCAGCTGGGGCTGCAGTGGAATCGAGCCCCAAGCCCTTCTCTCTCCCGGCCCACGTTCCATCCCCCTTCCTGGACCCTCCGGGGGCCCCTGAGCTCCTCCAACGGTCGGGCCGCGTGCCCACCTGCCGCCCCTCCCCAGCAGGTGCCCAGCCACGGGGCCTTGGCACCGGCTGCCCGAGCTTCCCACACGTGGCCCCAGGTGCCCCCCGCACCCCGTCCCCCCTCCGTCCAGACTGCACCCTACACGTCGGGTGCAGCTGCGTCTCCCAGCAGGCCCCCTCGCACGGCCATCCGCGTGTCCTCTGTGCCCCAGCGCCGGGAGGGGGCCCACTCCTCGGGACAGCTCGGGTGGACTGTGGTCTCGGGCTGGGGAGGGGGCGGTGCTTGTGGCAGGCAAGGGGTCTGCTTGATGGGGTCCAGGGTCACCTCCCAGAAGCCTGAGGGGTGCAGACGTCACCAGCCGGATGTCCAGTGGGGATGTCACTGGGTTGCAGTCGGCTGCGCCCGGGGCCTGGACCACAGAGGCTGTGTGTGTGCACTTGTGACTCGGTCTGAGTTTCCTGGAAAAGTCACACGTGTGGTCCAGGATCTGTCACCGCAGGTGGCTCAGGCCCTGAAGTGAGTGAACGGCTCTGGCCTTTCAGCATGGCTGGTGCCCAGGTCCTGCTCCGACCCGGAGAGGGGGGTGCGGGGGGTCTGGGAGGGGCTTCCCCTCTCTACTCGGGAAATCACAGAGCAGGCATTGTTGTCGCTGCCCTGGGGGTGCGGGAATGTGCTGAACAAACAGCACCGAGATAAGCCTGTGTGTGGCCCTCTCGCCACTGTCCCCGTCGGCTGGCCAGCCTCGGGGACGGAGCCCCAGACAAGCGGGCGACTGTTCGCCGCAGAGCCCTGCCTCACAGCCGCCACCCCAGCCTCCCGGCTCAGTTGGGAGGGTGGGCATCGACCCCTAGGCCGCTGCTCGCCGGGGTGGTGGCTGAGGGCCCAGGTGAGGACTCTGCACTCACGGCCCGTGGATGCCTCTAGTTCCCATCGGGGCCGCGTGTCATGCTGGAGGCCCTGAGGCTCGAGGGTGGTGGCTTCAGCACAGCCGAATTCAGCCCGGAGGGTTTGGCCTTGCAGTGCCTGCGCCTGGCCTGTTTGTGAGCTGGCCGGGTGGCAGAGGGGGCTGTGACGGCCAGCAGCACTGGGGAGCTGGGCCTTTCATGCAGGGGCAGTGGTGATCTTGTGCTGAGCCAGGGGCAAGGCTGCGACTGCCCTGGACCTGGGTGTTGAGGCCAGGGGTGAGTGGCCTCTGGCTGAGTCTTTGGCAGGAGAGACGCGAGGCCACGAGTGGCCGTGGACCAGGACCCTCCGCGGCCTGAGAGCGGACGCTGGGGAGATGTGCCGACCCGGAGACCCTGGGCCCAGAGTGGCCTGAGCAGGGGTTCCCTGAGCGACCTCTGCCAGGGTGGAGTCACTTGCTCTCTCCCGCCCACCCCCACCCCAGCGTCCTGTGTGTGGGCCAGCTGGGCAGGTGCTCCCCCACTGTGGTTCTTGAGCCTACAGCCCCTTCCTTGAGACCCCCACCTGCAGCCAGCAGGGAGCAGCGGCGTGAGGCTTGGGAGGGGCCCCGGGCCCCCCTGTCACTCTCAGCCGCCTCATCTGTGCTGTCTGGCCTCCTGTCCACTCCCTGGCTGGCCTGCTTTGAGCTGACCCTTCCAGACCCCCACCCTCAGCTACTGGGGTCGGCCCTGTAGCTGGCAGCAGTGGGGCCAGTGAGCCAGGAGGGGCCGGGAGGGGCCCCCAGTGAGGGTGCTGCAAGGGGCTGGGGCAGGTGTTCCTCTTGGGGGCCCAGGGCCTCCCTGCTGGCCCCTAGCATTGCCTTTGGGCCCCAGTTCTTCCTGCAGATTCCTGGGCCTGGATTTGGGCGGGGTGTGGTCCCTGCAGGGCAGCCCCAGGGCCGACTGTGGCCCCCAGCTCCTTCATGGTGCCGTCAGATGGACAGAACGTCGTGTCCTTGGAGGGGGTGAGGTGTAGGACTGGCCTTGGCACAGGGTGGGGGCCCTGGGGAGCCACTGTTTGAGCCCACGGCTGCCGCAGGCCGGGTGGGACTGAACAGGTCACTGCCCACCCCTGATGGCTGGTCCTGGGGTCCTTATTGTCCGTTTTAGTGCCTGGCCTGGCGGGGCCCTCACCAGGGACCAGGAGGTCTAGGGGCACATTGAGGTGGGCTGGGGAAGCAGCCGGGCAGCCTGGCCCTCCTGCTGGGGAGGAGGAGCTGAGTCTCGGTGACTGCACTGGCCTGTGCTCTGCAGGGCCCGCCACCCACTCTGACCCGGGGGGTGGGACTCCAATCCCCCTGTGGGGGCCAGCTCCGCCCCATCAGCACCCTCTCCCTGCCGCTGGGGGCCTGGGGCAGCCCCTCTCGGTTTCCTGGCTGCCAGACCCCAGTCCTGTTTCTTCCGAGCCTGGCTCCAGCCCCCACTCCCGCCCCCATTTGAGGGTCCCGAAGGCTCCACTCGGAGATGCTGGGGGACACTGATGTCTGCAGCTTCTGCCCCAGCTCAGAGCCCCACCCCACAGTTGATCATGCCCCCCACCTTCCACTCCCACCCTACCCTTCCCCATCCCCTCCCCTCCCCCACCCCCCATCACCCGCCCATTTCCCCCCATCACCCCCCACCCCCTGCCCTGCTGAGAGCTGGCGGATGTTGGTGAAAAGCAAACAGATAAGGCTGGTCAGAGGGATCTGCAGGGGGCCCACGTTGGGGTTGGGGGGTTATCTGGGGCGGGGGACGAGGACGGGGAGGGGAGGGGAGAAGGATGGGATGGAGGAGGGAGGGGAGGAGAGTGGGGAAGCGGGGAGGGGGCAGGATGGGGCGGCATGGTGGTCGGGGGAGGGCATTCTTGGCAGAGTGTCCAGGTCGGGCTGCTGGGCAGAGCGGGCCTGGCGGCTCCAAGCCCGAGCCGCTGGGGTCTGGGTCAGGTCCGCGGGGCTGGCTCTGGGGAGGGCCCCGCCTCTGCCTGGTGGAAGGGGGGGGGGCAGTTCCGGTGTCTCCTCTTCTAGGACCACTGAGCCCACCAGAGGGTCCCACGGTCTCAACCTTGGTGTGAATTTTGGGGAGACAC